TAACATTTCGTTTTCCATGTGGAAACAATTTAATGGTCTCGCCTGCCACCAAGTCAAACCACACCACAGCACTTTCCTACCTGCCCCAATATTATCGCCAGTCTGGGTCTGCAAACAGCCATGCGGACCCCCTATATAGAGCTTCAAACTGGTTCGCTTCCAACCTACAAACACAATCACACTAAATCAATAGAGAAACATTATAATGGCAGAGATTGACTTAGTCTGTAGAGGGTAAAAAAGATCAATGTGTAAAAGGGAGTGTTGTTATGTTCGGAATTGAATACTCATTTACTCCTCACTGCATACTACTCAGTATAAAATGCTGTCTACTATTGTTGTCATACCTCCTTACCTGAGATATCTAGTATTCAGTACAGTCTGTTCTGCTGCATACTACATATTTAAGCAAATGTGGTCATCTGGGTACATATCAAATTTGTATACCGTGTACACAATACACACTATACACTGTAGTAGTCGTGTGCCATTCTGAACAAAGCAAAACAAAAGGACAAGTCAAGCGCATAGCATTAGTTGGGATTCCATTCACATATTTTTATGCAAACTGCATTAAAAATGCTGGATGGATGGGGATAAAAATAGGCATGCACATACACTACAATGGAACCAGATGCATATTTTAGCAAATGTGATCATCTGGGTATTCCACTCATACAGAAAATGTGCATACTAGGCACACAATACATTCTATACACTGTAGGGGTTTTAATGCTAATATGCTATTCTGAATATAGCAAATAGGACAGCATAAGTCAAGTTTCCATTCACATATTCTTATACAAATGGGGATTTTGCATAAAAATGCTAGATGCATGATGGACTTAAGTGCTCATGTTAATTAATGTGCATTGTTAAAATAAAAGACTAAAGAATGTGGATTACATTTCTAAAATTACTTCATACTCTAAAAAGTTGTTTATTTTCCATTTTGCTTCAGTTTGCCTTGAAGTGAAGATTTTTTTTAAATGCTGGTTTATTTGCAGATTATATTTGCAATATCCATGATTTTTGCATAAATTAAATATGCAAATTGAATAGGAAAACTTGCATACTTTGCACATTATAAATGTTATATATTGCCACAATAGTAAGAATATGCTTTTCCAAACATAGCACAAGACTAAACTAACTGCAGGGCCACTGGCATGTTGACATTGAGTTGGGGGAGTTAAACGACAGGAGGAGGTTTAGGAAAAATATACGTTCAACATGAAGGAGTGAGATCGCATGGACGGGAAGAAATGACGGGGTGCTGCTTCAGGTTAAAATCACACACCTGGACCTCCTCATAGAGGTGTAAGCTCAAGTCGCACAGCCGTTCTTTTGTGAGAAAACCTCTGAATTCTGACACGGGTGTGAGAAAACATTCACTCCTTTGGCTGTATGGGCCTCTGTTACATTCTGCATGAGCCTCTGCAATGTATTTCTGCAGTTCCCTGTAAACTAGCAATCCAGTTGTTTTCAATTTACTAGTTGTTATGAGAAGATGGTTATCAGAGAGATTAAAACAACAGCGCAGGACTGGTAGAATCGGACGCAAATCTTATTGCAACCCTATTGTGGCTAACAGAGTTGATTTCCCGGGCGGAAAATAGGATATTTACCCAGTCCCATCATGCACTGCAGATTGCAACAATGCAAAACACCCTGTAAATGAGTTACACTGGACCTCTGAAAGGGGATTTCCAGCAGTGTTATGCTGGGAATTTTATGCTGAACTATTTTGCTCACAGCCTTTCCCTGCTAAGGAATGTTTTTGAGAATGTCAGTGCTAAAAGTAATGAAAAATGGAGTGAATACACAATAACACAATGATAAAAGCCAACATGAACTAACTCTAAATGCTGAAGATCCAGTAATCTTAATGTATCATCCACAATGAGCATTTATACAGCAGTATAACATCTCTAAATATTACAACAATACTAGTCATATCATATGACAAGTCTGTCGCCAGTCCAACCCACATCACAAACATATCAGTTGTTGTAAGTGCTTTTCATGGAATATAATTCTAAAATATCCCTTTTCTCGCTCATTATTGCACAGAAGCAAACCACAAAGAGACGTTATGATAGGAAACATATGTAAAACACCACCACAGTTTTGGCAAGTCTGTGGGCACAGTGTTCAGGACTTAAATGCAAAACCGTGACACCAAACTCATGCTGCATTCAAGTCCTCCTGGGACGTTCGTACTTACGAGTTGACAAGTTGTAATTACGACATCATGTGCGTTCAAGTCAGTTTAGTCGGCACAAGGTGGCGGTGTACCTTCTTTTAATAAATTACAAGAAAATACAACAGGGTCTGTTAACTCCGCTTATAGAAAATGAAGGGCAAAGAATTTGCATCAGGTGTGTTTTGCATTTTTAATATTTTTAAAACATGCAAATCAAAAGATTTTTCATCTATAGGTGCAAAAATTATAGCATTTTTTTACTTGGATTTCATTAACTAGCTGAGTAACAAGAACATGACCAATTTAAGTTTATAGGACAACCAAACTATCAATTTAAACAAAAATTTACCGTCAACTACAGACGTTGCATCCATCGATTCCGCCATGTTTCCCACTGACAAGCCCCCAACTCGGAAACTCGGGGCTTAAAGAAAATTTTCCCACTGGTAATAACGACTTTGTGGTGGCGTTCATGTGCATTCAACTTGTAAATACGATCTATCCGACATGACTCGAACGCACCATCAGATCAGGGTGCAAATACGCAAATGTCCATTTTCCTGTTTTGCAGACACAAACAGTCAGTTTTTGCAGCTCAAATGTTGTGCATGCATTAGCCTATTGCAAAAACTAATGTTAACAATATAAATTTTTCAGTCAAAAACAAGTTAAACAGATACCATGTTAATTCACATTTTAATTAAAGGTACAATGAGTAATTGATGTTACGATAGACGATTTAGCAGTTGTGTATGGCCAGCATGCTCCAAAATTTAGCAGTTAACAAGAAATGGTCTTAGCAATAAATATTCATATTTATCTGATGAGTGAAAATGTCCAATAATGGTAGTTAATAAGATAAATTAAGTAGTATTCAGCTGGTCATGTGATCTCAAAATGGCCACCGCCATGAGGGGGTCCGCTGCATGTAAACTGCTTTATCAGGCTACTGACCTGACTGGAAAGACTTGATCGCTTGTGAATGTACATTAATTTAAACTTTTTTTTAAAGTACTAATAGGAGTAATTAAAAAAAGAAACAAGGTAAGATGATAATTTCAGGAGGAATTAAGAATAAAGTCTATAGAATTACACATGATTGTTAATATAAATGCCTGAAACAGTGACAGGAGTGTCTTGCTAGGACAGACATTACAGCAATGACCCATTTAAACACAGCTGTTGTACAAGATGACTGAATACATGTAAAAAATCTCTGCTAATGACACGGTCACCAGCCCTTTTGTTCTCAAACTACACCTAGTTTCTCTCAGGAAGGACATTGTGGCACATGACAAATCACCAGCATTAAGTTTAAAGGCAGGAGACGGGAAGAAACGACTGTTTAGTCTAAAACGTTTAACAGCTTGTGTGACTACACCATTTAGCTGCTGTCTTCCACAGATAAATGGCTTCCAGGTATTATTTTGTGGTGCTTTTGCAAAAACAAAACAAATGGAAAGCATCATGGTCGACAAGTTAACTTGTTTTTCTCTCTTTGTGTCACCAAACCGCTGTTAGAAGTTTTATTGTTGTCTTTTAGTTATGTCAGTAATCTCAGGGATATAACCAAAGAATACGGTGTCTTCCCAGACCGACACCGTCTCAGAATATGACTCATGACTTCAACATTGTATTTACACTCCAAGACTGTGTTCTCCTTAAAAGCAAACCGACAACATTTTTTTTAAGAACAGTTTGTTCAAAGGACACAATGAACGGTACAGTCCGTTTTCCCAAAATCCAGCAAAAAAATCTCCAGACCATGGCATGCAAGAAGACAGCTGACCATCCCAGCCATCCCGGGACCTCGCAGAATGCAGGAGGTGGTGTGTATATGTAAGAAGTGGCGGTAGGTTTACATGGGACATGACCTAATAAAGGGGGGTAAAACTAGGTTTAAGAAGGGGAGGCATTATATGAACAAGTCTGGGCAGCTCAACCGCAGACAGTCTTGTCCTACAGTCCAGCTGGAGGTTAAATTTCACTCTCCCAGAATTTTGATTTGCTTCCACAACATGCAGATCTAGTCAGACTGAATCTTTCTAGATCAACTCAACTGAGCAGACAAAACACACTCCACAGAGAAACATATATGTTTGCAAAAGACCAATATACAGCTGTCATGACCACAAAGATCAACATATTACTATAGTAAAGAGACAGTCAGCATGGTACAAGTAATGATATCATGATGAATAGTAATAATAAACATAGTAAACAAATAGTTTGAAGAATGTTAGTAACCAAACAGTTGACTTCCATGAAAGTTGATGCCAACTCAACATTTTTCAAAATATCTTTTGTGTTCAACATATTAAAGAAACTTACACAGGTTTGGAACAGCTTTAGGGTGAGTAAATGACAGAATTTTCATTTTTGGGTCAACTCTTCCTTTAAAAGCTATTAGTACAAGACCCTACACAACCTTGAACACACAGAAATAACATTCACTTAGATTAGAAAGGCATTCACTGAAAGCAAAATGAACAAACACACTCGGCTGTTAGAGCGGAGCAGTGGAAAGTAAACATTTGTGCATTGTGACATTCATAGCCTATGGCAGGACTTATGTCAGCTTAAACGATCAGAGTAGAAGCCCTCACGGGAAACGCGTTGAGGGGGTCCTACTGAACGAATTTGGCTGTTTTTCCATTACGCTCAGTTCTGAAGCGAGCAATGAGTGGGGCCACAGCGGCCTCTTGTGTTCAACTCAAAACACTCTAAAACAACATGTTCAACGACACGATGCAATGTCTTCTCGATTAAATAAAAGGGAAAAAACGTGACACCCCAAAACCCCAAAAAGGCCACTAAATCCCTTTTTAAAGTGCTCAACATGTGAAGTATTACCAGAAAAAAAAGAATCCTCCATTCTTGCAAAGCGATGCATGTGTTGTTCAGGGGCCCGCCCCCCCAAAAAAAACAGAAAAGGCACCGTTTTGCAAGCTTTTATGTCACTGGAAAATCTCTCCATCTCATCTAAAATGAGCAGATGAGCATACAAGGCCATTAAACGAACACCAGAAGATGCTTCTGAATGTAAGGATTTCAATTTAGTGCAAACAAATGCAGCTACAAGTATGTGCATCCAAATACACGGTAAATACTCTCAAATCTGAAAAGATAAAGAAAATATTTTAAATTTACTGAATAGTAATAATAATAAATAGCAATAATAAATAAAAAAACAACAGGAAAACCCTTGTAAACTTTCACCAGCAAACATCTTACATTAGTTTTAACACTGACTATGTACTATCGAGCATGATCTTTCAAACATGCAATTGCACCATGCGTAACCGAAAGCGCAATAAAGTGCAGAGTAACTTTCAAAAAAACATCCAAAATGCCCCTTTCTCCCTTTTTGTGCCCATTTCGAGATAGATGTTCAGTCCTGGTACAGCAGGAAACCAGAGAAGGTGCTGTACTTCCAGCTGCTGCCATAGATGGCGCCACGGTGCAGTCGCAGCCACACTTGGTCGCCCTGGAACAGCTGGAGGACAGCGTGATTGCTGGCAGTCTCATGGTCCGGAGCACCGTCGTTGGCGTACCCGGACACCATCACCTCTTCATTGCGCATGAGGTTGATGTACAGGGGTACGCTGATGGCCAGCTTCAGGATGTGGAAGATGAAGACGTAAGCACCGGCAGCGGGACAGGTGAAGCGTCCGGTGGTCGTGTCGAACATGTCACCGAGGTTGGTGTGCAGCAGGTCAAAAGCGATTGGTTGGTCCATTGTGCCAGGGGCGAAGTTTGCCGTGCGGGCGGCAGAGAAGGCCACGCGGAGTCGGGTGAGTGGGTACACGTGTACTGGCATCAGAGTGTGCGGGCCCTGGGGCGTGATGGGCACTTCCATTGGCGGGATGGAGAGTGTGTCACTGATTCCTGAGTCGAGCAGAAACGCACCCTCCCGGTCCGGGCTGCTCACCTGAGAGGAGTCACTCCAACCGGCTGAAGAGGAGAGGAGATACAAAGACAAACCACAGAGTTAAGGATGTTACTTTGATGCTTTACAGAGTAGTGCTATCAAACGATTAAATCGCATCCAAAATAAAAGTTTTTGTTTGCATTGTGTGTGTTCTGTATTGTATGCGCATATATATATATATATATATATACACACACATACATACAGTGGGGAAAAAAAGTATTTAGTCAGCCACCAATTGTGCAAGTTCTCCCACTTAAAAAGATGAGAGAGGCCTGTAATTTTCATCATAGGTATACCTCAACTATGAGAGACAAAATGAGAAAAAAAAATCCAGAAAATCACATTGTAGGATTTTTAAAGAAGCCTAAGGGTGAGTATTTTCAGCAAATTTTCAGTTTTTTGATAAGCTATTTCTTTAACCCCATCCTACACTTTGTGTGACTGATTTAACATGGAGCAATCATGTACCAAGAGGAGTAGAGGAGCCTGGAGAAGGACGGCGTCTCTTTGTTTGACTGTTTACAGGGGAAGTTTCTCCATCCAGAAGAGACTCCTGCAAACAGAAAAATCAAGGAAAGGTCCGTGAACACTTTCTGAAATTTCTCAGATTCAACAAAAATCGGAAAATTAAACCATATTGCAGCAGTTTTGTTGTATTGTCGCAATTTGTGCATTTATTTCTTTTTAAATGCATGCCTGCATGAAGCTGAAGGATCCTGAGATCTGGTCCATCAGAGACTCCAGCTGCTGTTTGCGCTGAGCAGGGTCTTTCGGTAATGGAGAGCTGAAGACTTCCACTGCGACAGGCATCTGAAAGTATAGAGCATAAAAATAACACTTTAACTGCTTTAAAATACTTTGTTTATGATGAACGTAAATAACTCACCGGTTTAGAGTCCTGCTCCTCCTTGCTCTTTCTTTGACGTTTCTAGAAAAGACACAACATACATGTGAAGAAACTGACCTTTTTACATATCAAATGGTTGCCAACATGCAAGTTGTTTAAGCAGCAACATGTTTAAGGGGTTTTAAAACTAGTGTCCTGGGGGCCACAAGAGGGCGCTAGGAATATTTGTAAAAAAAAAAGTAAATACAATTAAAAAAATTATAATACACAAATACAAGAAATTAAATGTGCAATTTTTATATTAGAAAATTATATATTGTATTATATAATTCTAATATTCGGTAGGGGAAAAAAGTTGGTTGGATAAAGTTGTTTTCCAGTTTTTTTTATAAAATTTGTCTGCATTTCCATTTTTATTCACCCAAGATAAATGAAAACATAACTGCCTTTATTTTAACAAAGGGCATCATCAAATTTGGGGGTCCTTGGAATAAGGAATGAATTCAAATTCATAATAAAAAATAAATTATATAAAATTTTACACATTAAATGTATTAGTCATTTTATAAACATTTTGGGAATAACATTGGGAAATCATTTCCAATTCAGGTCAAGTGCCATTTCAATATAGAAGTTAGTTGTTTCACCTCCTTGGGGTCAACGGTGGGTCTCTTTACGATGTCTGCAGTCTTAGGAATCAATCCCGCTGCCCCTTTCCATGGCTTCTGTATGGGGGACTGAGAGGATGCAGGAGGATCAGAAAACTCCATTTCCCATGAGTCTGGGGGCTCCCTTTCCTTCATCGCCAAAAATTCTTCCTTCCAACTACGGGGCGATGCCTTCTCATCCTGTCTGCGCTCAGTGACGTCTGTTACAGGTAGGTATCGTCTGTTAAGAAACTGGCATCATTCAGAAGTTACTGATTTGCGCGTGTTTCTCCAAAACGCAGTTTATAGCGTTGAAGACTTGATAACTTAAGATCATGGTGTTTGATACGTCACTTGTTTTTACCTCTTTGGAAGGCACTTCTTTTGAGCTCAGCTTCACCAGCGCTAAAACTCAGAAATATAAAATGACATGCATTCAAGTAATTTCATGGCTGTTTAGACACACATTCGAAGTTAAAATTAAATGAAATCTCACTGGAGAGGCCACAAGGCCTTGGAGGGTCCGCCTTTAGGGTCTCAGTCTTCTCTTGACTGTCAACTTTAGGAAGTGGTACGTGATCAAAAAAGCCACAATCCACTAGCCGAAGTAGCTTCTCCTTCATGTGCTTATCTGTTGAAAAATGACCATCATATAAAAATCTTTTTTTGTCTTTGTACCCTCAACGATCCCATCAACACAGATATAGAAGTGGGTTCCTTTTGTGTTCCAAAAGGAACTAAATGTTTCTAGGGTATATACATATTATAATGAAAACAGAAAAAAAGTTGGTAGACCTAGACACCAAAAACACAAATATTTAATAACGGACTATCACACAGGTGATGTTTGAGCGTGCAGGCTCTTCATTAGACTAGGGCATAGACACAAAACATACATTTTTATTTATTTCTGTAATGTTTGCCCTTGAATAACAAAAACAACAATAATAATAATGGCGGCATATTTTATTGTGCATGTAAGCATTTATACACTTGTATTATCATTCTTAACACACCTAAAATTAAAGGGCATACATTACACAAAATATTTATATTTACATGCATCATCATCATTAACACATCAAAGGACAGATATTGCATTTATTTTGTGTAATGTACTTGTGCATATTGTATTTGTGTAACGCATTTATACATTTACATTGGCGGCATATTTTATTCTGCATGTAAGCATTTATACACTTGTATTATCATTCTTAATACAACTAAAATAAAACGGCACACATTACACAATAAATACATTTATATTTACATTTGATTATTATTATTATTAACAATAACTAAAGGACATATTGCATTTCTTTTGTGTAATGTATTTATATATTTACATGTATTAATTATCCTCAATAATAATAATAATAAATTAAATGCAAGAACATGCATTTATTTTGTGTAAAGTACTTATATATTTACATGCATTTGTTTTCTATAAATGCATTACAAATATTATTACCAAATTTGCAGCTTATATATATATATATATATATATATATATATATATATAGCTTATCCTATAGCATTTTTATTAAAGAAAAAAAACATTCTGGCTCAGAGGACTCATTGAAAACTACCAAATTAATTTGACAATCACAGAAAGAGCTAGAAACTCACATGTTGAGCCAGCAACTGGTTCTTCTTTCCCTTCCAGAAGCTCCCAGTAAACAATGGCAGCCTGTTCCATCTGATCCTCTAAACTAGTGCATGAAACACAAAAGGAAGATCATACCACATCTACAGGCTAAAAAGACCCCAGATACAGTAATGTAATGACATTAAAAATAACCAGAAGCACCCTTGTCAGGCATAACAGTTATGCGTTATCCCCCTTCTTTTTTTCTTTTTTTTTGGCTAGGCGTGTATTATTTCCCATTAATAACAAATACTGAAGTGCTAGAACACACAAAAAGCAATGCAGGAAATTAGTACCTAATTTTAAAGTTAGCAGTCAAAAACATACTTACAAACACGGACTACAAAGCAGAAGACAGTATCAGGTGCAGCACAAACCTCATGCTATGGTCTCTTTTGAATCCCAATAATGACGCCAGATCCAGCAAGCTCTCCATGTCCTGTGTGGACAGGTAACAGGAATGTTGTCTCATGTTGCAGAAGTTCCTCCGGACATCCTCTCTCTGCAGACTGTGGAGGACGTATTGCACCTGGAGCATCAAGTTCAGATGTTTCCTCTCTTCTTCAATCCTCATCACCTTCTCTTGTCGAGCAACTTTGTGCTGAGCCTTCAACAACTATGCAGGAATCAGAAGAGCCAGTGAAATATGCAGAACAGTTTAATTTCACTCAGTACTTTACGAATGCATGAACCTTACATCTTGCGTGAGGGCACCAATGGTCTTCTGGAGCTCTTTGGCAAACTTAAGATTGTGGATCACCTCCTCGTACTTCCCCACAGCTTCCTACAGCATTAGCACACATCAGTAATATTAAAACAAGCTCCATTTCCCAAGATGCGACACACAAAATCAAAAGTGATTACCAGTTGGTCTTGATTAAGTTTTTCCCCCTTCTTCAGCCTCTCACTGTAGCTTTCCAGTTTCAGCTGCAAGAAGAAAAAAGTAGCTTTGTTTTGCAAACATGGACAGGACTGAAGCACATTAGGTGCTGTATAAGTAAAGCAAAACAACCCACTCCATCTGAATACTGTTCATGCTATTTCTGCCTGAACAACAGAATAAAGGCACCTTCTTTTTCTCAATGTTACGGATCTTGTGCTTGAGGCAGATGAGGCCGTCCTCAATGTATTTCTCATAGTCGTAGTTGGTGGTCGTGGTGGGGCTAAGGGTGAACTGGAGGGCGGTAAGCACTCGAGGGGACTCGGATTTAGGGCTGCCCTGGCCATCATCCTTCTCCACGGTCAACTCTGACGGAGTCAACGTCTCTATAGTCCGAGATGGTGACAGCTGAACCATGATCTTAGTCGCTCTGAAGCAGAGGGAAATGAACAGAAAGGTCACACTATTTATTATGGAAATAAAAAGACAGACGTTTATAACCATACTCCGAATGGAAAACTATTATGTATTGTGGATTAACACACAGTATATACACTTTATATTGCCTAATTTATAAAAACAACACAAAAAAAAAGTCAATGAAGGTGGTCATGAACTTTACACTGACACTTATTGGTGTGGATGCAGCATCACGCAATCTTAAAACTACTATGATAGATACTATTACAAGTTTTTAATAATAGTTACATTTCACTTTTTTTACATTTTCAGCCATTTTGTTTTGTGCTTGTCATTTTAATTATGTTAAGTCAGATTTGATAACATTTGCTAATGTCAGATTTTATTGACTTTATATCAGTACATCAAGTTCAACGAAGTAAAAATGACAGATGTTTAATATGCGTTTCATTTTTTATTTAAATCGCTTAACATTTGAATTAATGTTTTTATGGTTTTAATTAATTATATAGGCCTAACTCTTCACACACACAAAAAAAAAAACTATCCTTTTGAGGTCATATAGGTTTGACAATGTCTGTAAATAAATGTCAGGATTCAATTTTTTGAACCCTTAATATAGTTTTCAAATAGACTTTCCCCTACAGTTAGTTCTTTATTCACTTTGTACTTAAATTATACTTCAATGTACTTTTTAAATGTCTGCGATACATACATAAACTTGCTTTACCTTCAAGTTAAAAACATTTAAGGTATTAGACCATCCTGGTTCATCATGCTAGGAGTTCAGTCATTCAATGACAATAAATATTCAAATAGAAATCTCAGCACACATATATTGGAAAGTTGCACACACACACAAATCAAAGCCTGCATGATAAACGTATAATTATATGAGTTTAACTCCCTCCGTATGTCTGGACATTCGCCAGTGCTCACCATGACATTGCATTTACACACTGGAATAACAAATGCAACGTTAAAAAAGCGAATTAACCCCGGATTCACGATCTAACATAAAAACCGTAGTCATTTACGGTCAGCCATGTACAAATATCGTCTAATGCAATTCTGGCGTTCATAAACACCGATTATGCATCAAAGAGAACACCAAAACCAGCTAGAATAATTTGCATTTGAAAAAGAGCAGATACAGTAGTGCAAAAACGCAACTTTTAAAGCCATTATCCGACACGACTTTGACGCTTTCCAGAATAATCCTGTCCAAACAGCATCGACGGGGTGCCACCACCCAAATCCACGAGCAGAGAACGCAAATAAGTTCCCGGAGGACGAATAAAGCCACAGATGCATGTGACAACATAACGCACATGTGTAACGAGCACAGCATCCGCAGATAGCCTATCTCACCGACCTCATGCGTCTCTGCCGGTGAGTGTGTTTGTTTGCTTGCTTCGTTCTCAGATTGTTAGGATGACTTTGGTGGGAAGGCTGCTCATTTAGATGCAAATGAGGTAGCCTTTCGGTGAGCTGGTGGAAAGACGATATAAAGCGGTGGGGAAACAGCGAGGACAGACCGCAGCCGCCTCGCACCTTTTTATGTCCTCAGAGCAGAGGAACCCATCAGCTGGCGGAGCAATCAGGAGGTCACAGCCGAACACAGCCTCAGCGCGCTCTCACCCATCCACCCACAGCTCCTATCTAGCGATCGATCTTATATTTACTTTTCAAATCAAATATAGGCTACAAATAATTATTTCAGAATGGGTAACAGGGATGAATAAGTAGCCTACTGTAACATGGTTGTGCATTTAGTTTGTTATTCAGAAGGGGCTGACAAATGTGGAAATAAATACTGGTTTGTAGTTATTGATAAATATGTAACAGGGTTGAATGACTGAACTTGATGCATGCAGTTTACAATACAATTTGTAAAATTACGTGTCTTTCATGCTCCTCGAGGGGTGGAAATCTCTTTTTTGGTATCATTTGTATCACCATTTAAGGTGTTTAGAAAAAGTGGTCAATGTGATTTCTATATATTAAAACGGAGCAGAAAGTTTTAATTATTTTTTTCATTAAATGCTGCATGCACTGCAAACCTTAAAGTAGTATGTATGTCTATAATTTTTTTTTTGAGAAATGATGTGCTTACGTTTTAAACAAGAACAAATATATGCCAATATAGTCAGAAAAAAATACATATTTTCCCTTTTGAATTAAATGTATTTCTTTGAGCCCACTGATAGATATTTGTTCTTGTTTTATTCATAAACGTACTTCATTTGAATGAATTTTTTCATGTCCCCTTCAGTGTTTACTTGGTCTTAAAAAGGTTTACTTGGTCTTGAAAATGTTAATACAGATAATATTTTTGTGGAAACGTTTTTTTCAGAACTGAAAAGCTCATTAGAACAGCATTTGTTTGAAATGGAAATTGAAATGTATAAGAGTATTTACTGTTCAATTTAATATGTCCTTGCTAAATGAAAGCATTCATTACTTTTCACTGTAGCCCATTTCATCAGTTCATTCCCTGGGAACTGAACCCACAACTTTGGTGTAGCAATACCAGCCACTTCTAACTCGTTTTATTTTATTTGCTGGCATGACGTAACTATGTTCCTGTAGCTCAAACAGTATCATGTCTCTAGCAATGCCAAGGTCATTGGTTCAATTCCCAGGGCATATTAGTAAAATATGAATCTGAATGCAATGCAAGTGGCTGCCAAATGCACATTTACATCAATGCACATAACAAGTGTAACCACCACAAGTTACGTTTATTGAGGAACAAGTAAAAAGTACAATATGTAAAAAAATACAAAACCTGCTTCATATATCTCTAGTATTGCGAATACAAAGTGCATAGCTACCATACATGCCTGAAGCACTACAAATAAAGGGCTAGTCTAAGAAAAGTATGTGGGCATTAAAAACCCTCAAACAAAAGTATAAAAATAATCAAATAGTTGTACTTAGGGCTACGAGAATACCTTTTGTGCGCAAAAGAAAAAAAAAAAAAAAAAAAGACTATTCAACAATTCGTCTCCTCTGCGTCACCCTAGCACAATTTTGGAGAGTATCCACTGAACGCAAACAGCGTATGTTGTTCGGTGTCAGCCGCACCACACGGATACGTTGTTTTCGTTCAAATCAAAGCACAAACAACGTAGAAAACGTATCCGTGTGGTGCGGCTGACACCGAACAACATACGCTGTTTGCGTTCAGTGGATACTCTCCAAAATTGTGCTAGGGCGACGCAGAGGAGACGAATTGTTGAATAGTCTTTTTTTTTTTTTTTTTTTTTTTTTCTTTTGCGCACAAAAGGTATTCTCGTAGCTTCGTAATATATCGGTTGAACCCCTGATGTAACATGGATTATTTTACCGATCTCCTTGCTACGTCTCTGGACGTTGATCGTGGTAGTACCCTTGCTGTCTATGGGAGGGTCAGAGAGCTCTCAGAATTCATCAACATTTGTGTTCCGAAGATGAACGGAGGTCTTACGTGTTTGGAACGACATGAGGGTGAGTAATTAATGACAGAATTTT